TCTCTCTCCTCCTCCTCCTCCTCCTCCTCCTCCTCCTCCTCCTCTCTCTCTCTCTCTCTCTCTCTCTCTCTCTCTCTCTCTCTCTCTCTCTCTCTCTCTCTCTCTCTCTCTCTCTCTCTCTCTCTCTCTCGCATAGGCCTACAACATAGTATAATAGTTTGTTTTGGATGAAAATCCTCCCGCCCACTGGCCTCCCTACTCCCGCTCCTTCGATCGATCCCCTCCCGCTCCCCGTCCCCTTTTCTCCCATCTCCCGCCCCTTCCTCTCCCGTCTTCCGTCCCCCCTTCTCCCGTACCCCGCCCCCGTACCCCCTCCTATAGCATTAATTGCGCCATAGAAGTGAAGCGAGAACTGCGCAGTGAACATCACGCCAAATAAAAGCCCGCGGCAGCACATCCCGCCTGCCTGATTTCTGCTTCAGTACGTAAACGCAATGTGACATTTGCAGCCATACTATCATGCGCGGCAGATGTAACTCAGGAAGCAAACGACAGCCCACGCACTGCGTCAGCGGGGCAATTTTTGCCCTAAGCTTGAACCATACTTGAACCTATAGCGGCGCTATATGCAGCCGTTTCTGTCATAGCCTTGAGTAATGATCCAATCTCGAATGTTGTGGGGATGGGATGGTTTGGAGGGGTGTTGGTGCTAATTAACACACGAGCAAGCATCAACGCACGTCACTAAAATGTGTAAAATACTGTCCTTAATTTAACTCGCGTGCGTTGCAGTTCCTTTTGAACTGTCAAACTTGCTGCGTTGCATGCGTGTGAGACTCGCGCATTGTCAAGTTCTTGCGCATTTCAGAAATATTAATGGGAACACAATTATGCGTAAAAAAGTATACGCAGGATGAATATTTCATCGTCATTACGCATACAAGAGCGTAGCTAACCCATTCTATTTTGCCTCGGGGGCAAAGCGACATGTAGTATGGGCCTGTATGGCAGGCGAGGTGAGAGACAAAATTTAATGGTATTTAGTGTCTATGGACAAACATCAGGAATAAGAGAGCTCTCTCTTATTCATGATGTTTGTGCACAGGGCGTGCGCGTGCGGTGTACTTGTGTGTTGCAGATGAGCATTTGACCGGCATCTACAGGTAATTATCGGAAATAATAGGCGAAATCGAGTAGAGAAACATTAAGACTTTGGGGTAGTAAATACATTTCGTGTTTATTTACCTTTTTTTTATTGAGACGTTCCAAGTGCCTGTGGTCGGTACGGGTCTGAACGTCTTGAAGCAAAATTACAAGGAGCATGTATATTATGCTAACAGATATATACTCCTGATACCCCTGAAACAATGCAAAAGATCACTGATCTCTATTATACCAAGTTAGTATAATAGAGATCAGTGGCAAAAGATAAATTGTTGCTACATCACGCGGGTAGTGGGGATCAAGGCCTATAGAGATAATATTATATAAACACTATAGATGGTGTATATCTAATTATATAGGCCTTGGTGGGGTGGGTCTGGTTGTGGTACCACGTACGTACGTGGCATGATAAATTAAGTCATGATGGAGAAAATTAATTATACTAGACATATTACGTTCGCCATAAAAAGGGGGGGGGGTAAGGGTACTGTTCACAGTTCACAGTGAAAATAAACTGCTTTTCACATTTCACAGTGAAATTAATGCTCTTTTCATAGATCACGGGGATAATCCAGTTTACAGCTAAAATTTCAGACACATAAGATAAGGTCCTAGAAGTATACAAGTGTATATCTTGAATAACAACACTTCTGAAAATCAAAAATATGCTTGCGCAGCAGTCATGCTTATACATGTGTGTGTGTGTGTGTGTGTGTGTGCGTGCGTGCGTGCGTGCGTGCGTGCGTGTGTGTGTGTATATATATATATATAGTTTCCATATATGTTCTTCTGGAGCTAGGGGGGTCGGGGGCATGCCCCCCCCCGGGAATTTTAAGAAAATTAGGCTATATTTGGTGCATTCTGGTGAATTTTGAGGCCTGTGACCGGTTTCTGGAAACCGGTGCAAACCGGCCTAAATCCGCGCCTGACATGCATAGATTCACGAGGAAAGATACAGATTTTAACAATATATTCCCTAGTTTTACTTCATCTTATATTTCAACAGAGACAAATTTTTGCCACATAACGGAAACATCAGGCTAGCAGTGAAAAAGTAGATATAGTTCCTGGCGTCATGCAGGACCTGCGCGCACGGTCATTCAGCATAGCGGGTTTCGCGTTTGACATAAGCTAACGGCAGCGGATGTGAGTAATAGAAAAAAAACGATACAAGATATATCTCGAAATTTAGCAATAGGAAAGAAGGTGCGACTCTGTGGGTGGGGGTGGGGGGGGAGTAGATATGAGAGCGCACAGGAAGGAAACAGACAAAACTAAAACACTGTGTAGGTCGACTTCCTATATGGCCCGACCATGCATGGTAAGCCCACTATATGTGAACTGAAACTGCCCGACAAGAAATGTAGTATAAAGAAATTATGAAGAAATCAAATAGCAGGTATATTCAAAAACATTTACAAAATGTCCTATCTAATGAATGGTATGCGTATTCGGTAAATTACGTGCATTGCAGTACATAGAACAAAACGAAAATAAACACCAACGAATACACACCAACGAGCAATGAAACAAACAAATGCATACACGAAACACAGGCAACAAAAAGACGTATAAGAGCAAAATGCATAGTACATTGCAGTGTTGTAGGTCTCGAGGCCGGCCTCGAAACCGTTTTCCTTGGTCTTGGTCTCGGTCTTGGCCTCGGACTCGGACTCAAGCCCTCCGGACTTGAGGATCGACTCGGGTCGAGGCCGGCTCGAGGTCACTACATACATAGTATACAACTGTACATATTGTAACACGCAGTTTACAAGAATTTAAAACTAAAACTCCTAGGTTTTCTAGATACGGCCTAATCTTGTAACGTTTTCAATGGCTCGATTAAGATTCTTGTCCCTTAAGCTTGAATCTGCTGTCACTTCGTCCCTTTGCGCTTTTTCTACCACTTCGAAGGTACTAGCACTCTCTCATTTGGTTCAACAAGCCATGTTATTCTCGTAAAACACAAATGGATCCGTTACTTTGACACGTTTCGTATGACTCGTGTCTCTGTGTTTTCAGCTGACTATACACTTTCGAATGTCTACGGTGCACTGTTGCGATTTTTTCAGTTTTCCCCTTTTTTCCGGTTTTTTCCCTTTTTTTTTTTATCAAAACTGGACTCGGACTCGGACTCGGGTGGCACGGACTCGGTCTCGGACTCGGGGGGTGCAGACTCGACTACAACACTGGTACATTGCATATATATATATATATAGTATACATGCATGTTCATCATCATACAGTTATAACGTTTGCACCGTATACAGAATTAGCCTGATTCCCAAAGTAAACAGATTACCTACAATATGGAGATAGGTGACAAAAAAAACGAAGAAATAAACATTCATTGTATATTGTGAGGCATTGTTAGGGTCACGGGAGGTTTGCTATATACTGTATTAGCAGTTATGTTACCAGCGTACGCAATGAAACCAGCGAATATAAAACAAAAGAAACACAATGTTTTACATGATTCACATTCAATTGTTTATTTTAACATACGATACATATAGTTGACCGATGCAAATTAAAATTAGGGGTGCGAACAATGGGGGAGAAACTAGGGGAAAACAGGGCCTAGTATGGCTATATATATACATATATATATATATATATATATATATATATATATATATATATATACATAACCATATGCCACACCCTGTTTAAATCCAACACACGTGGCTGAACCAACAAGCAGACATCATGTCAGTTAGTTTTACATTGGAGGAGAAACAAGGATCGCAAACACAAGACACTTGTTCTCAAACGCACGTGTATTTGTTAGAGAGCGATACACGTACAGGCACCTCCAACTTCTCAAGTTTAAACAAAGTTATTTCCAAATGTAAACAAAATATAATAAAAGGTTAAACAAATATCCTCCCAGAAACACAGCTATCGAATGGCTATGCCTGGAGAGAAACAATCACCGATCCCCGTGCAGTTCGTATCAAGCGAATTGCACTTGACACGCAGGTGCAGCAAACACTACCCCTGTCTCCCTGCTGCAGGATACTAGCCAGAGGACATTGCACAACCATGGTTGATGCACATCAATGAAAAGTAACACACTGCGGCCTTACTCAGGACACCAGTGTCTTTATGACAAATACCGATTCCCTTACATAGAATACAAGTGCTCTGATGGAGAAGAGGGGGAGGGGGAGCATGCTAATGCTCTTAAAAAGGATACCAGTTGCCTTTTATAAGATATACTTACAGATGTACTTACAGGGCGTAGTGGCACCACTATAGGGGACAACGTGCTTATTTAATTATGCACAACACATTCTCATACATACAGATGGAACAACATTGACCCTTCTACTGCATCATGTAATGCAAATTTTAAAAACGTAGGCATGGTGAACAGAACATCATCATTAGGTCTACAAACAAAATGATTTATCATGCAAATTAGCAAGTAAAAAATGAATGTCCCTACCGATAGAGGTGTATTTGACTACTTTTCCTCAAAGATCTAGATATGGACATATTGTCATCGCCGTTATTATGTATGATTAATAGCAATCGAGTTTGAATCATTTCTATTAATACAACACTAAAATTCCAATTAAAATAGTTTTCTATTAAGAAATCAGTAACAGCCGATCCTCACTGGATCTAACTCAACACTAAGCCATGAACCAATCATCAGAAACACATGCTACAGGTCAGTAATCCTTGTGCGCCATCTTTATGAGTGTAGCAGAATATTGTTCGCTTGATGGTGACCATTGGTGACCAATCTATTAATGTTCTCCTGCATACTTCCACCTGAAATGAAATGTGGGAGCCATATAAAACAGCTTGTAGAAAATACATCAGTTGTTGGTTGTTCGACTAAAATGCTCTATTGTGTGTTAAATGCTACACATATATTGTGCACGATATCAGTGTCGCACTACTCCCATTTGGCAAAGCTTGGATAAATCCAAGTCTCCTTAACTTGCTTGGCCTACACATGCCCACAACCATACATGTGACCCAACAGAAGTTGACTGCATTAACTATAATTCAAATTTTCTTCAACTTGGTATTCAAACTGTGCAATCTTTAGGAATTCGTAAGCCAGACAGAACTTAACATTATTATTTATAATTTAACTGGTACGGACCACGTCGGGACCGGCACCCATCCGGATATGGGATTTGGCCGGATATGAGAGTGAGAGTTATGCTCAAACACAGCATTTCTATCCAGTTCAGTAGGGTTTATGCATGTGATAATGTATTTACTCGTTGCTATGATTATTTGTAACAAACTGTCGTGTGTTATGGTTTATATGAAATAGAAATAAAATGAAATAAAACAGAAATTTTACCGGAGGAATAGCGGACACGAGCGGACAACACACACACACGCACGCGCGCGCAAACGCACGTACGGTTAGTACATCGCGCAAGTTTTGAGCGAGATTTTTAGGTGGAAATGAATGAAAAACAGAGAACATACACTGCGAGATCTCGGCCGGTTAATAGAGATTTCCGGATAACGGATGGCCGGATAAAGGAGGTCGGATTGTATTTGATCTAAAGTAGACATTTTTAATAATTATTTGGTTCTGACACGACCAATGCAAGTAGATTTGGCTGTAAATTACACTGCCTAGTTTAGAGGTAGGTATTGTAATGGGAGAGGTGAGCCAAGTGTCAATATTGTGCAAGCCAGTGGTGCTCACACATGCGTTATGAAAAATGCCAAATTTAAACAAACGAAACAAGAATACAGAAGAAGTACAAAGGCATTGGCTGGGACAATTCAACAATGTATCATGATGCAAACATTGATGATTGGGTACACGTATCGATATATTTGGCAGCTTAAAAGTATCGCAATACACATCGTATCATGCTATGAATCGTAGCGTGACCTACCCGTATCCGCCCACCTCGAAGAAGAAATAAGATTTATACCCAACCGATGTTTCTATCATAGTGATAGGGCATTTCTGTTCACTGCCAGAAAGGCTTTCTACCACGGTCCGATATTACATCATGGCAACGTCTGGCTAAACCGCTCGCTCTTCCTCCTTCCTCAAACCTCTCAGCATGCAGTGACAATGTCTGGCTTACCCTGCTGTTTCTAGCGACGCTGCTGCTTCCCATAGTTTCCGCCGCCCCCTCCATACCCGCCCTGATGTGCTGATCGCTTCTGTCCAGCAAAGCGGTTCCCACTGCCCTGCCCACTCAATGATCCCATGTTGCCCATTCCGCCGCCGTAATTGCCACCACCTCCCGCCATGCCGCTGCCGTAGTTGTTCCTCGTCAGCGCGTTGGCAGCTTGCTGTAGTTGCTGCTGTTGCTGCAGGTGTTGAAGCTGTTGCAGTTGCTGACTGGAAAGGCCAAATCGACTACTGAATTTATACGAAATGTAGTTGCACCAATATTAACAGCTGAAGATTATATGGGGTCGATTTCTGGCAATCTACGTTTGAAGAATGCATGCTTACTGTAATCAGCGTTATTATTCAGACGCAAGCTGATTGAAGGAATTCCATAGCAACTACTTCATGTATTCCTGTAGTCAGGTAGTCCACTATGTATTATTGAAAACACTGTTAAGCAATATATAACTTGATGTATGGACATCATCAGTGAATTGAACTGTAGATGTAACTTGTACTTACTTGAGCACGGTACTGATATTTTGCAGGAGCTCGCCCTGTGGAGGGCCTCCCATCATACCCTGTAAATGGTACAGGTAATTATCCACTACTGCACGTGTTTCCCACACATTATATATTACTGCTTACAATAGCACAATTGAAGAATGATGACAGCTTAGGTAGATGCTACACTATTCTACATGTACAGAATCCTCTGTTCGGTTTGCATATTATATCGAAGCTTACACACCCGCTGCTGCTGTTGATGTTGCTGCTGCTGCTGCTGGTGGTGTTGTTGTTGTTGGTGGTTGGGGTGATATCCTGCACCTCTGGGCGTTGGGAGCAAGGAAGAGGAGTATGCTGATCTGTTCCCCATCTGTCCTAATGGCATGCTAAAACAATGATGCAAAAATCGTGCTTCAGAGTGTGATGCATAGCTGCTGTCTCAGCACAAAACGAACAGGTACACGCTACATGATTGTACACACAGAAGCACACTAATACGCTTCAGGTATGACATACCAGCATGATGAAGGGCAAGCCAAAATGATTCCGTAGTGATACATACCTAAGTAAGCTTGGTGGACGACCTATGTGGCCAACCACACCCCTTCCCATACCACCGCGCCTCATTCCGCCACCTGTAGAAACAAAAGTAAGGCAGTTAATACAACTCCTGGTCACGAATCTGGTAAATAAAGAACGAGGCACGAACTCAACCACTTCTACTACCAGGGATGGTATCTGGATAAGTACCCCCGGACAATTATATCTAGACAATTATCCCAGGAAAATAAAACACATAATCCACTACATGAACTCAAACTGATGATGAATAAATATAAGAAAAACTCAATTGTATTTTACAATTTTCTCACATATGATCTTTTTTAAGGAATATAACTGATATGATTTATTTCTGCATATTTAACATGAGGACGAATATCTATAGGATAAAATCTAAATGCATTTTTCTTTCAAAATTCCATTCTCAATTTTGTTCTTCAAAACGAAAACGACATCGAATTTTTTAATTCTTCTACACGACGACCTACGCGTTTAATCCCATTTTCTCTTGTCGGTGTGCAGCTCAAGCCAACTTACCGCCGCGCATGTTTCGGTTGCGCATGAAATCGCGGTCATCTCGACGAGGCTGCATGCGGGTGTCCTTGCGCATGGCGGGACCGCTGCTTGTGCGATTCTGCTGGTGGCCACCTCGCGTGTCCTTACCCTTGTTCGCCTTGGTAAATACACAGAGGTAGTAATTTATAGAGTTGATTAAACCAGCAAAGGAGATGTCTTCTCCAATCACGAAACCATCGATGAATGGGCCCATTTCACATTTTGACTGTACATGCTTGGTTCTTTGGTTTGGGCTATCAAGCACAGACTCACCACACTGCAATAACATAAGCTGTTAGGTGCTTACCTTGGAAACATGATACATTTCAGGTGGACACAGTGGTATTAATGGATGTGCAGACAGTTCAATAAAAATTCTGGCAAATCAGGTACTATGAAGCTTAAATAGCAAGTATTACCACACTTGCACAGTATTTGGTAGTCAAATAGTACCACAATGCACCACAGCTTTGTAATGTGAAATTGGCTTATATGAATTCATTTGTGATGATTTGTTAGTGAGATTCTGCCTCCACTCTTTTGCTTTCCAAATACAAATCAACATTAATCATCATAAGCAGCCACTACTTCTAAGATACTGGTGGCATAGACGGTTTGTCTACAATAGGACCCACCCAACAATTTTAACATCTTTCTCCATGTTCTAATATCCGTGATCTAATGTTTGCAGGCCACATGTTATATTACTCATAATACAGGTCGATAAGACGTAAGAGGGTAATGAATCGTGTGTAAAGAATCTTACATTACGAAAAAAACCTGAAAGCCTTGGCATGGAAATGATAAATACAGCAGGGTGGTAATACAGTCAGAATTCTAATTAATGCTATTTTTGGTGGGATAAAGGATGGGGGATCAAGAATATAAAGATGTATAAACACAATTAAAAATTTCACCAAGTTCCTTGGATAATGTAAGAATGACATTTTATAAGCGTTTCTGGGCCATAAAAGTTGACCTGCTATATTGCAGTTGAATGACCATGATCTATACAATCCTACCTCGACTTTCTTAACAGGCGTCTTTTTCTGGTCAGTAGCCTTCGCAACCGATTTCTTTAGTTCCTTATTCGTCGAACCCTACCACAAAGGAAACAGCTTTAACTACAGAAACAAGTAGCAAAATGTATGTAGACATTACAGCTACTCTATGTGGCTATTATATTACACCGTTGTTTTGGAAACTTGGTTGGCGCAACATCAATACTGAATATCATACATAGATAACTTCACACTTATACCGCTTAAATTAAACAAGTGCTGCAGTGCGACAGGGCTCATCTGGTGTCTGGTGTTCTGCTGATAAATTCATTTGTGCATAGCAAGACGTCTTATACATAAGTCTTCTTTATTCTTGTTTGACTTTTATAGCCAATTGGAACAAATATATCAGCTACACTTTCGCACCCACCTAATCTCTATGCATTGCAGACACATGTGCATTGCAGGTTGGCAGGTAACAATTATGATTAGAAGCGTGCCAGCCATGGACTGCCCGTGTTTTTGCCACCCACACGAACATTCACTGATTCAGCCTTCAGGGTGCTATAGACAGACTGCTTTAGAAAATAATATGATTTAAGGAGCGGTAAACCTTGTTCAACAAACATATTGCCTTTGCAATTAAAACTGTTTTTCTGAACTGATAGCCTCACATTCACACAGGTATGGGCTCTCAATAATAGCCAAAAGCAGTCAGCTCCTTTGCTTAAACAGTCAACAAATCAATGTTTAACCCTCCTCTTGCAGGGCAAAAGGTATCCGACACTTACTCTTCGCATGTCCAGCGGAAAGTACATTTCCGGCTCCTTCAATAAAGCCATAAAAATGTAGGTCACTGCCTGCAAACAAAAAAGTTTTTTCAATCGCCCTCCGCTGACAGACTGTCTAGAAAATGCTCTAAAGAATCTGCCCCTCTGTCCATTACCTTTGACTCAATTTCGGCACAGTGATGGCTTTTCCTACCATGATGCTATACACAAAACTATCACGAGCCTAGGTCGAGCCCGTTATAGATTTGCTGCCGCAATTCTGCATTTCCTCTCTATACCTTTAAGTTAAGACTGAGAATGTTCCCCCTTCTTTCCCTACACCTATTGACCTTTGACCCCCAGCTTCGACATCCCAACTCGTTTTCGGATTACACACCCCCCCCTCCCCCCTCCTCCCCACGTCCCGAATATCGTGACCGTACGTCGAGCGGTTAAGATTTGTGCCCAACTGTTGATGGACGGACGGACGCACAGACGCACGGACGGCCGGATGGACAATCATGCGATTCTACAAGCTGCACCCGACTATGTCAGATGAGCTAAAAACAAACAAACATTACATGGACTAGAATTGGTATAACCATTACTGATTAGCTTAATAAGAATTAACATCCCTGACGACACCACTACATGATGTGACTACACGACATGAGCTCATACATGTCACTTGCTCAACATCACATCAGATCGCCATACATATTCAAACCTGCAAACAGGCAGCATTCAGCATGGTTTTTTGCAGAAATATTCACTCTCTTCAAGAAGAGTGTTTACGCAGTCGACGAAAAAGAACAAACAAATAATCGGTTCCTAAACTAGTATGTGCTACCTGAGACTTGTTGACGGCAGTTGAGGAGGCTGCGTCGTCAGGGTTCTTGTTCTTCTTGATCTCGGCCATCAGGATGTTGTAGACGCGCTGGCAGCGGTTGAGTTTGCGAGTCATTGTCGGCGGTATTGGCCGCTTGCTGTTCTTGTAGTTGGAGACGACCTGCTGGAAGCGAGTGAAAGCCGTCTTCGCACGATGTGCCCCTGAGAAGCAAGTATACAAGATGCACCATGAGACAAGTGTTGGGCCGTGCAGGTGCCACGTGAAAACAACAAAGCGACCAAATTGACAAGATGTTAAGTACTTGTTTACCTAGCTCCAAGAAACGGTCATTGTATTACAAGAGTATAGTACAATTGTATAGACAATCAGTCGCACAGCCTCGTCGGGCTGTTGCTTACCCAGATCCGACTATTAATGACACCTCCGATGAGCGTATTTATTATTATTGAATACATTGTACTCACTGTGCTCCAAGGGGCTGAATGCCATCAACTTGTGGCTTTTGTCACCATCATCGACAGTCATGCCATCATACTTCTGCTTGCAGGTGTCCGTCTTCGTCACGCTGTCAAACACCAGCACTGCCAACCTATCGACGATCCCCCAACGAAAAGATGTGGTAGAGATAAAAAGTTATGTGAACTGCAACGGCTACGTCACCTGACACTGGAGATGGTACGTGCGCTATCGTAGAACCGATGGCTTTCAATGTGTAGCTCCACTTGCGACGTCACCACAGCTTTGTAGATGCACATAATATTATTCGTTGGAATATCGAAATGGAACATCAGCATTTGATTTACAAACATCACATTGTGTAATGTATACCTCGCACTACCCTTGCATATTCCAATGGCAGGACATGGTATTTTTATCGTGTTTTCGTGATCTAAGTCAAGTTACCGTCAACTCTCCCAATACCGACCACCTTCAGGACCGTCCATTTAGTTGGCTTGTTTTGTGAAGTTCGGTTTATAGCGGGCATATTCCATGCATATCCTGCATCTCCAAGCTGGTGTTGGGTCTTACAAAATCGCTCGGTTTAACGCAGGATTCGGTTTGTGGGTGGTTGGAATTTGGATAGTTGACTGTAGTAGCTTCTGCCTTGACAATGCCAATTACATTTTATTTCAATTTCTTACACTCTTGCCTTGAGGCAATAACAGGGAGATGCACTCTTCTGAATTAGGCTGCGTCGTGCATGCATACATTTCACACTAGTATCAGTTGTTGGCCCAGAGTTATAGTTATAGCCAAAATGCACAATGTGTGGTCATGGTAAGTTCTATTAGGTGGGTTGGCAATGAGCACCGTCATTGAGTAATATTACACTAGCACTCAACGATAACGGGACGTAGAGACGAAACTGCCAATGCAGTATGGAGGATATTAGCATGATCAAGGCGAAAATTGCCTTGACCATGACTGAAGAATTATAGCTAGAGGTAAAGTTCAAAAGAGCACTACCAGGAGTTGATCAACTGTCTAGGGAAAACGTCATACAGAACACGACAATATAAGAATCTCGACGCGTGTATCACTTGCAATTAATTGACATTGAAGTGCATCCAGAAGCACGTGGAACATTGGGGCGCAAAAGCTTGAAGGTTACCTCACCTCGGTGCATACACGTACAGTGCAGTCGATCAATCACGTAGATGTATACAGGTTCTTTTCTGTTGAGGGTTCTCTATGCGCACACGTAAGGCCACATCGCAGACACAGCAATGTGTACTCGGCAACGTAACTGGCATGTTTGCAACATGAAAACAGGTGGGAGGATCAAGGGAGAGAGAGTCGGTGTTGAGAGGTGGGATGGGTCAGTGCCAGTCTCACTGCCACGTGAGAGCCTGGCATGACCGTACGTACACACACTAACGAGATAATGGGCGCGGCGCGCTTAAGAAGGAGTCAATGGTTACCCAGTGCATGGCTTCTTCTCGTCCCGGGGGTGACGGAAAACCTTGGTGGCTGCGCTGAACATGGACCTGAGCATGGCCTCGGACGTGCTCGGGGGCAAATTGGTTACAACCAACTTCTGAGAATCCGGAATCGGTGCTGAGGATGAACAGGTAGTCCGAAAGTTTAAACACTACATGTTTATGCCATATCGGTACGAAAGTGTTGAACCTGAAACTAGGTAGCAAACAAATAGGTGGTTATTAATCAGCATCCGAGGGGCCGCCGATGTATGCACGACTCTCCAGAGACCGCCGTACTCTCAAGACATCCATGGGTTTTGCACACAAAGAGCAGCACCGAGAGGCCACGTGACGCCATTTACATACACACACCCCCCGGGGGCACCACCACCACCACTGACGCATCACCGCTCACTACTGTGCAATCTTGCAAATCAGCAGCTGAGCCGCTGCGATGCGTTTCAATGCCGGTGGAGTTGGCGCGCGTCGCAGCAGAGCGCCGCTGTAACCAGCAGGTACCACAGATCCAGGAACCCTGCATGTAGCAGGATAGAAAAGCTTTCAAAGACAGATGCCGAGTGTCTCCACTGACAAATGTACATGTATGCTCTCTCTCTCGCGCGCTCTCTCGCTTTCTCGTGCTCTATTGACGACGAATGAAAAGGGTACCGCCATAGCCATCGATCTGCATTCGAAATGCACACCGAGCGGCAACATCCAAGTGTGCGCGCGAACACTTCCGCACACAATAAACACGTTCATGAACACTCAACGGGTGTACGCTAACCATATCCAAAAAAGGTGGGAAGAGTTGGCTGAAAGACCATTTCTTTAGCCCACAAGTCAACCGATGAAGGCACCTCACACGTAAAAATTGACTGGGAATTTTAGCGTAAACATAAGGGGCACTTGACCAGCACGCATGCGTGTCAGAAATAACGAATGACGGGCTAGCATTTGCGCACGGCATTAGAGATGCTCATTCTCGTATAACATTCACACAGACAAGTGAAATGCCAGCAACACTTGTTCATTCTGTAGCTACAACGATGGCATGAAATTAAAAAGAAAACAAAGAGATGAACAGTGCTGTTTGGAGTCCAAAGGTGAAGTGCTGCTCCAGCCAGCATCGTTTGTTTGTTATGTGTCATGTAATAAAAGTAATATGAAGCTCTGTGAGAAATACCATATGTATTGCTTTCACAAGCATGTTGTTTAATGATGGTATGTGTTTGTTTTGGATGCTTGCAATCACTGCACAATTTAAAATAGAAGGTTAGGCTACTAGTTGTGTTTTCAGTAAATTATTAGGGGTAGGCACATTAATGATGGCTCACACAGGCAGCAAGCAAGAACAGTGGCACTGAGCGCAGAGTGCCGGGGCAGGGATCAGAGACTCACGTGCATGGTTGAGACACTCACGTGCTTTTGCCTTTTTCCGCTGGTATTCCCAAGCCAAGTTGTAGTCCACTAAAAAATTAAATGTAAAAAGTAAAATTGATGTCTGTACAAATAATGAACATCTACAGATGTATCTGAACACATATCTGACACAAATTAATAGGTATAAAAGCCAATGTTTTATAAGCTTGATTCAAGGCTGCGATATGAGCATGAGAAGGGCAGCAACTCATTTATATTCTCTAATATGAACTTTAAAACCGTCCTGAAATTGTGATAACCTTTTCTCCATTTTTAAAACTTTTATAATAAAATTTAACCAATAAGTCAACTAATCCTGTGTTGATTTCAACTGAGCTTACAAATGACTAGTCGATCGATGTCAGTAGGAAATTAAACTCGATTTCATTTAGTGCACAAAAATGCATTCGCCTATAGAAACAGTGTCTTACACTTGTCCTTTGGCGTTACTGGATAGGTGATTTTCATGTTGTGCATTTCACCAAACCTGATGCGCTGGAATTTTTTGACAATTGCTTCAGCCCTACTTGCATCTCTATACACCAGATCGACAAACCTGTAACAGAAATGAAAAGGTTTGGCTAACCTTACTCAAGCAACCTGATTACTGACAATTACACAACACTACAGAAAAACAACAATGTAAAGGAGAACAGTCAGGTAGTTGTCAACAATTCCTGCCAATGCAACATGTTTAAATTACCTAAATATTTGGTATTACCTAATATAAATTTTTGTTATGCAAATAAATATATGAATAATTAAATGCTAGTAACGATCATGAAGTGCTGCTTCATCTGCCATGACAGGAGAATGCTCGCAGTGCACTTACTGATAGCTGCAGCATGGAAAACATACCCAAAGTTTTTCTGTGGTGGCTTAGGCGAGTTGCTATCCCTACGGAAACACATAGCAAACTCATAGGCTTCATCCAGAGCATCAATGAAGCACTGACTCTTCATGTCATTAATGATAATGTTTGTGATGAGGACACGCTTGTTTGGATCAGTTGCAACTGCAATGACATGGGAAACCATCAAGAATTGATATGCGCAATATAGGGCATCATGTCATAACTCTGACATACCTTCACAACTTTTTTATGCTACAATTCCTCTACGGTTACACAGGAAAACAACATTTTTAAAACCAGGTTCGAAGACAACTGTATGAAATATTCATCACCAAAATATATCATTATAGGATAAAACTAACCGGCTACAATTTAATTTCCTATTGTTTTGTAACAAAGAGTAAACCATAGTAATTAGTGTATTTTGTACTTCATGTAAATTGCTGCTAATGCACAAAAAATTGTTCAACATGCCAGATGGCTATACATCAGCATTTGCCATTAAATGTAAGACAGCCATCATACATCTTCGTTTTTACTTACAACTGCTTGTGTGATACAACCAGTTAAAACTATATTGCAAGTGCCCACCTATTTCGTACTCCTCTTTTTGATCATCTGTGTCTTCTTCCATAGTCACGTCGATGTCAACACTGTCCTTCTGTCCTCTGTCATTTTCTCCCTTGACTTCCTCTTCTTTGTCCGTCTCTTTCTTGACTTCCTTTTCTTTGTCTGTCTCTTTCTTGACTTCCTCTTGCTTGACATCCCCAGCAGCAGAAACTTCGGTCATTGCTACCGATGCATCAGTGACTAAAGCTGCATCATCCACATCCTTCAGAGCCTTCTCAGATTTTGCATCAACCGCTACTGCTTCGGACTTTTTCGCATCCACCTTAGTCTCTGATGTGTCATCACAGGTCTCCGAAACCATGCTTGTGTCTTTCTCCGTAGTTACATCTTCTGCATCATCAGTGGTAGACGCTTGGGCTTCTGTTGCCATATCAGCTTCCTGGTGACATTTATCCTTTGCAGTTTTCGTTCGGGCGTCTTTTTCCTCCACACTGAGATTCCCCGATGCCTTCTCTTCATCCACATCATCCTGGGTGCCCTGAACTTTTGTAATTTGACCAGCCTCTTCCTCTTCTACAGCAGATGTCACCTCCTCTGAGCCATCCTTAACCCTTTCCGAATCAGATCCACTCTGAGCATCTTCTAAGACTACTTCCTCCTCATTTTCGTTGCCGTCGTCATCGTCATCTTCTTCTTCGGGTTCTTCACCATCATCTAAATGGCAAACATAATAACCCAATATATGATCCACAACAACAAATGAGCTGTAAATGAACAATACAAATGCAGGCACGTCAACAGGTAAACTGGCAAATTATGATAATATTATAGTAAGTGTGTAAGACATAGTGATGCCGAATAGAGCTCAAACCTGACAATTTAAATCAGAAGCTTAAGAATATACATCGTGAGCACATTGGCAGTTAACACGATCAAGCAATTATGTTTCGTTATTATTAGTGCGAGGTATACCACTCCAGTGTTTGATAGCAAAAACATTATCCTTATAAATTATATATCCACAAGGTCACTAGGCAAAGAGATAAGATTCACCTTAAATCTACAATTTTCAGCTTTGGTGCATGTTCTAACATTAAATATTAATTAGTTCATCTTCAAGCTGTGCGGCAACATTTCATTGCAACTACGAACCGCATTCACTTCCGTGCTCAGCTAGGACCTCATCTATCATCTTCATTGTATCCTCTTCATCCTCCACCTGTGAGATGCAAGACAGTGAGTAAGTGCAAATAATTCCTCCTCGGTGTGGGGGGGAGGGGGTGCCAATTGGAGTCAATTACATGTCATCAGCAGCCACAATACATAGGGAAACTCGATCAGTTCCAAGACATGTCAATCGAGCTGTGAAAACACAGCACGACCATGTTGAAATTGTCAAGAGTAAACATGGCTGGAAAGTAAGGCATGTCGATTAGACATTAAGGTATGTCGAACGATTTATGCTATGTCGTCAATTAGCTTGAGACTCAAACAAAGACATGTTGTACCTTACACGTGTTAAAGGCCTGGGGAGAACCCAGTGTTGAACAATTCTTACACCCTGGCACCTCGTGTGTGATTGCCTCGTGTTGCGCTAGCATCTCCATACACCCCATATTATAGAGCTTTTAATTAACAAATCCTTCGCTTAGTGGACACGGCTCAGGAGCGTATCTTAACCATTAAACAAGATACCAGGTCGTGAAATTAGCACCGGCCCACGCCGGCAAATTATTTGGAGGGCCGGTAACATTGGCAAAACACCGGCCCTCCGAGCCGGTGGTTTCAGCCGTGTCAGCGAGTACCTACATTATTTATAGCAAATAGCCTAACTTGCTGTTTTACCTTAAGGATATCACGCCATAATTTATCAATATTTTACAAATTTGAAATCGATAATGCAAGCATGAAACACGTGTGAGGGCTGGAAAATTATGTGCGAGGGCTGGTAACAAATTAATGTTGCCAGCGCTCTGGGCCAGTGCAAAAAGATCTGAATTTCGTGCCCTGAGATACGATAGTACATAACGGCCAAGATGTAATTCCCTATGCAGAAAAGCTATTGGTTTAGAAAGCCTCACCTCATCCAGATCTAGCAGGGCTCCATCATCATCTGGTCCAGAACCGGCATCATCAACTGTCTCCATGTCATCTGCTAGAAGCTGTGCATCACTACGTTCCTCATCTTCTTGCTCATCCTGCTTCTCTATGTCAACGTCTGCCTCACCGCCAACTTCCTGCTCATCGCAAGACCCAACTATCTGTGTATCACCACTACCTGCTTCCACCTTGATTTTGTCATCAGCATCCTCTTCCATTTTCTTGACGGTGGGACATGGATCCACCTTGTGTTTGTCATCAGTAGTGCTCGATTTTACTTCATGTTTATTCCCATTACTGTCTGGTTCCACTTCACGTTTAACCTCAGTACTGTCTGGTCCCACTTCACGTTTATCCTCAGTACTGCCTGGTTCCACTTCATGTTTATCATGGGTACTGCTGCCTGGGTCACTTTTCTGATCATCTTTAGCCAGACTGCACTCGACTCCATTCTACATGATTGCCAAAACATGCCTTACATGAGAAAATATACCCGTCTAAATTACTTCTTCTTCTTCTTAATCACTCTTAATGATATATATGAATTAACTTGCTTACTAATTTAACAACATGCATCTAAAATTAAAAGTAATAATAAAATATTGTTAAATTGCAATTACATAGAAGCACAACAAAATTCTGTAACATAGACCTTTGGTCCAAGTAGCATACACGAATTTCCACCTAAATTACCCAGGCAACAAAATGAAATTTGAATGTTCACATTATACGTGGTAGGCAATGGCTGTAGTTTTCATTTGTAGCAAATAAATTACTCCAGTGGCTCACACCGCAGCTCAAATTTTTAAAGCATCAGGGGGTCCTGATGGCAACGTTCCTACTTTTAATACCGCCAAAACCTGGAACTCCACTTTGGGATGAATGTGAGACAATCATAACAATGAATACATATCCTTCTCCAGACAGAAAATAACCATATATTATTCATCATCATAAACTAAGCAGTACCTCTTCAGTTTCAGTACCACTGCCAGAGTTTTCTTCTTCCTCCTCGTTCTCCAATTCTTCTTCTGGTTTATCTTTTAAAGCTGAAAAATTCAAACAGGTTGAAGATTAAGTCAGCACAGCTGCAGATACATACATCTCTACAGAACATGCTGTATATGCTTTAACCAATTCAGGCACAATAAGCATAAACAGCACTGTGCTTGCTACATGCTATATGCATGTTAAAAGGATGCTTTGCTACTTGTAAGAATCTGTGTAGTTAAGAGTTGGGTGGTATGTCATTAAATACTGATGAACCAGGGATGGATCAGATACTAGGGGTCGGATGATAGAGGTAGCATACGATACAATCAGTATCGCAATTAGGTCTGTAACGATACACATACCTCTCGATTCGATCCATATCTCGATATTAGCCTCTCGATTCGATTCCCAAAATATTGAAATGTTATCTTATTTTGTATATTTTCATAATTTTGCAATAAAAACCACTACTACATTAATGCGTTTTCTTAATTTTATATAACAAAATCACTTTAAGCAGATAATTAAAATAATAACAGTAATAGGTCTAAAATGACTAGAAATTATGAGAAATTGCCAATGGATACTAATGGTGAATATAGGGACCCACTTATAAGTTATAACCAAACATTACCTTTTAATGGGTAGAATAAAAAGTCAAAGAATACCATACTTAAGTACGGGACACAGCCTTCCCAAAGAGTGATAAAATTGATTGTACTACTAAGTTGATATTACTAAGTCAATTAAGTACTGGTCCTACTGGACAAAGCTTTGCCAAAAAATAATTAAGTGTCAAAGTGACCAGAAACTTAAAAATAATAAACATTAGAGATTCATAGAATCACAGCCACCTTGCCAAAATGCAATAAGAATGACAAATATATAAAATAATTACTCAATAAATAATAAATAATAATCCGTACGGTGTAGTTCTCAAACTCGCGAAACTCGAGCCCTGTAAACAATGTGGTAGTGATGTGCTGTAGCCGCTGATTAGCTGACTGGCAAGTCATGACTATTGACCAATCAGAGCACGCCTCTCATACACACTTCGGCCGATGCATACAGTCTAAAAATTGGAGCAGGTTGGATCGAATAGAAAATACGGGAAAAAATATCGAGGATCGGATCGAGGGAAGAGAACCACGATCCGATTCGATTTCGGTGGATCGTTACAGCCCTAATCACAATACACCTTTCACAAAACGATACGTACCCCAACACTTTCAAGAGAAACTATCTAGCAAATAAGACGGTTAACCGGGACTCTATAAATAATGTGAACACTTACACTTCCGTATTGTGAAGTGCTTAGTAAACAATTGCTATTGAATTGTGTATTGTGTTACGTTTCTTTCGTTTTTCATGAAACTACACTATGAAATGATTTGAATATTATTCAGTAGAATACTGACACGTCCATCGTCAATATTTTATCATGATACATCGATATATCGATGACTTATCAGATACTAATTAGATACTGATGGACCTGTTTTCGAGCATCAGATCTTGGAGTAATCATTCTGACAACCTCTCCACAGATACACACAAACGAACGCACACATACCAATTTCATGACGAATAAGCTTGTCAACTAGATCAGTCTTCTTGCCTGTGGCAGGTATGGATCTTGATTTGCATTCCGCTCTTAAAGCACTAATGCTTAGTTTGCTCCAGTCAGGTGTAGACATCTCAAACAAAATACTCAGAGATCATTCCTGTAATAGAAAACAAGATCTATACAGATAAGTAGAGGTGCACGGTATTACCAGCAGTGCTCGAAATAACCGTTGTCCGAGACAACCAGAATTTGCGCCGGACAACCTAACCAGTGAGTCTGAGACATTGTCCGGTGGACAACCAAGAAAAATGTGACGAAAAACGCACTTCATTTATATTTTTCTGACCGCGAATTGAATTTCTTTCGGCTGTCGATCGGCCTGCATTGCGTCCATAGCTAGTGTCGTTTCGCGGATTCTCATTGGTCAGCAATGCCGTGTAATATGGGTGCTTTGGCCAATAAGTATGCGTATCACTATCACAACTCACGTTCGTAGCGACAACAAATTTTACTGTGTGGACAAGTTTCATCGGCGAGTAAACAGGTAATTACTTATCGATCACTACAAACGCTTTTTCTGAAGAGACAAATGACTTGTTGCTGGTAGATTTGTTGTGGCAGTGATGTAATCGATTTTAATTGACTAACTGGACCGAGTGTGTCAGCGATAATAGCGGTATTCTATAGCTAGCCATGTCAAACCTTTATTAAAAATTTTAAAAAAAAACATGATGCAGTGAGTCAGTAAGTATAGCTGTTCCAGTTGTTAAGAATGATATCAATTTTATTTATTTGTGGGCAGTGGCGTAGTTGGGGGGGGGGAGTGGGGATCCATGTTGATCCAAGTTTAAAAAAAGAATTGTCGTAGTCAGAATGAAGGCTGTACATGTACTCAAAGGTGCCACAAATACCATCTCCTGCAATCGACATTTTCAAAATTTTCTGGGGGAAGACCCCCATACCCCCCCTCCTTGGAATCCTAGACCCGCCACTGAACAATTACATATCTTGGGAGCAGAGAACAATGAACAAAAATGTCGCCTTTTCGCATGGCGCCCAAAACAAAGATTGCAGAGCTGAGAGGTAGAGGAGCCGAGCCGTAGGGTGTGGAGAGGGAGGCGGAGAAGCCATTAAAATATTAAGTCATCCACTATTTTGCGCAGTTCACTGTTTTTTGCCCCCTTGTTAAAAAAAATTTTCTACGCCACTGTTTTTGGGTGTTTTCTGATCATATTATTATGTGATTGAAAATAGGAGATTTGGGCATATTTTTTGGGACAACCAGAAATTGTTGCGGACAACCTGATTTGATGCTGCATTTGAACCACATTTTGTTTTCTTACTTAGAGCACTGACCGGTATACCGCGCGGTACATGACCTGTACCGGTACGTACCGCGGTACTTTGTGTGGTGTAGTGGTGTACCAACTGTTTTTAGCTATTTTTATCACATCAATTTTATTTCGCTTCCTCGTCATTGCATAGCTTTATAAATTCATCTCCGTCGATCGACACCATTCACGCTATATTCGCCTATCTCCAGCACCTATTCTATATCATATGCCTAGTAGATAGTCTGCGCTGTTTTATTTGTACATAAGAGTTTCAGTAAAATAATCATGTCATTCTTGGAACGAGTTACAGCCATTTTATAGTAGATATATCTCACGTTCCATTTCTGTAATAATACATTAGGAGAGTATGAATAGCGATGACAGATTTGTAGATAAATATCCAGTATTTATTGTCTGTAAAATATTAAATTTTTCCCCATTTTCTTCCTGAAAGTAGGGGGGATGAAAGCCACCCCACCTCAATACGTGTGTGGAGGGGAAATACCAACATCCCACCGCTATCTACGCCCCTGTCAGATGAACTCAAATTTGACTTTTGATATGCATACAAATATTCATAATCATACTTTGTTAGCAGTACTCTACAGGCGCCGCGGAACAATTTTTGAAGTGGGGTGCTCAATTTGTTATGCTCGACAGCACTTGGCCAATGCAGGTTTTCAGGGAGGATGGTAAGAAACAGGCGGGAGTATGTGGGTCCTCCCCCAGAAAATTTTGAATCCTCCACTTTCCTGCTGAAAGTAAGGGGGGATGATTGTACACGCCATCCCCCCCCCAATGTCAATAAGTGGGGGGATGCATCCCCCCCCCGCTATCAACACCCCAAAAATAAATAGATCACCACATGCTTCTGACTATATACTAGGGCTGTAACGATACACAAGCCTCTCGATTCGATCCGGTTCTCGATAAATTAGCCTCTCGATTCGATTCCTTTGATTCCCAAAATATTGAAATGTTATCTTATTTTTTATATTTTCATTATTTTGCAATAATAAATTATTAGAAATTGCCAATGAATACTAAATGGTGAATAGATTAGAGAGTCTAGAGAGTATATATACACTGCACAGTCACTGAGTAACATCAGAGCATATAAATCAGTGATTTATATGCGCTGGTAACACTCCAGTATATAGCATAGTGCCGCCATCTATTGGAGGGAAAAAGTGGTATCGAAGTAGAATCGAAAATACGGGGGAAAATATCGAGGATCGGACCGAGGAAGAGAATCTCGATCCGATTCGATTTCGGTGGATCGTTACAGCCCTACTATATACATGGAAAATCGTAATGAAATTCACAGCAACGTTTCTTTTTGCGTGCCGGCACACTCCTGTGTCATTCCCGATTGCAGCTTTTTCCTCGATTCCGGGAAAGTTTTGCTGTCGCTCCCTCATACAAGTGGTGCCCACCCCTATATTATACAGCAATAAGCATGCCCACGCGACTGTAACAATCAGTGCATTCGCACCCCCATACTTCAATCAATGCCGCCCCAGCCAGCAAGCACGAGCCACGATGTACACAGCCACGGACGTGGGTAACAGGCCTGGGTGTCGCGGGCTGCTTTTGTTCTCTTTTGCGTGAATGCGTGAGAATGGGTCCAGATGCGTGAGTCTCCCGCAAAATGCGCAGCGTGAGACTTGGTAGCCCGGTAGGTTTGCTAACAGAGTAAGATTTAAACTAAAAAGTTTTGGGGTGCCTCAAATGCAGTCTAAGACCTTCAAATTAAAAAAAATTTGGCTGGGGGAGACCACCAGAACCTCCCCCCCCCCCCCCCGCATCTGCCTGTAGAATCCTCATTCGTGCTTACTGCACGCCTTTGAATCCATCATGTGCGTTTTCTCCCCAAACTGGCCATTAGGCCAAAATAAAATATATGTGTGGTTACCGTTACATGCCGAAAAAAATAGGGTAGGTACTAGGTAGGGAAAACATTTTATTTTCTTGAAATATTTTATTCACGAACCATGTCCGAATGATGTGCGTTGTGCCTTTTGAAGCAAGAACTGTTCAATTCATGTTTTTTTGTTTTTTTACTTTAAAGAAAATTGACAATAAAATGTTTAGGGTCGCTGGGAAAAAATAGGTTCGGTTGGGAAACCGTAACCACACCTATATTTTGTTTTGGCCTTACCACAGATGTCTAATTTTCCCTCAGAAGAAACCCTGGTAGTATGTAACGACAAGACTAATAATAGTAATATCTTTCAATCAAGCACTAATACCAGGGGCTCGTTGTCAAAAACATTGTAAAGTTAATGCTAATGTTAATGCTAAGATAAACACTTACGACTAATGTTAATGTTACGAGAGTAGCGTTGACAGAAACACATCGTAGCTACGAGGAAACTCACGATAACAGGAACTTCATAATTTCATGTCACAAGGCTGCTGATTGGATGAGAATCAATCACAAAATTCAAATTCATACACCACATTGTACATCACAGTAATTTATGCATATTATGATGGCTAACCACATATAAATAATATTTGATGAAAAACGACGCGGTCATGAATTTATTCTGCACAACAAGACAATTCTGCCATACGCCATTTGTAAATGTATTGTTGTGTTTTATAATCAGTAGATAATTAATGATTGTGACGTGTTTTTCAAGAAAAACACACATTTTATTCATTATTATAAAATATATTATCACTATAATTGTAATTCTTAGTGTAAATGTGTTATTTTCAACTTAATATTAAAGTTACGATAGGGTCTGGGCTCTCGTAATGTTAAGAGGATATTTGCGAGGATTTTTTGTTCTCGTAACCTTTACGATGTTTCTGTCAACGGTTAACGAGTGAAAGTTAATGTTTTTGTTTCTGACAACGGGCCCCTGGGCCGTAGCCTGCGGGGGGGGGGGGCAGCTGCCCCTTCTTTAAGCAAAATTTAAAAAAATAAATTGTTCTACTAAAAGGAAAAATTCAGCACTGGCCACACTTATAAGTGCGAATAGTCACTTCCATTAAACTAATATATAATTTCGAAGCGACGAGCGGCGACATTTCGAGCGCCATTTCTGGTGACCTGTGTGTGACGCTGGCTTTCCCAATTTGCATAGCGATCAGCAAACTTCGGTCAGCTTTAGCAGTGCGCTGCGAGCCCACCGATTGGTCGGTGAAGGATACGCACCACGTCCACATGCTATTTCTCAGGCCGATCGCTATGCACATTGGCAAAGCCAGCGTCACAGGTCACCAGAAATGGCGCTTGAAATATCGCCGCTCGCCGCTTCGAAATTTTCTGTAACAGGTTATATTAGTTTAATACAGAGTATTGTGATACATAGTAAGTCCCAGGATCGCAGGTAGGAGAGAGTTCGTGTTTACAATAAACCCAGTTTGGAAGTTCTAGTCTCGAAATACGTACCATAAAACCGCCTCGAGTGAATCACTCAGGGGCCTCCTCAAAGAAAAGAATAGGCTCTCCGTTGTAACCCTACTCTTGTGTTGGGTTACATTATTGAATCTAATCAAATGTACAGCCTTCATTTCTGACTACGACAATTCTCTTTTAGC